GACCGAGGTGTTTACCCACAAGGTGGCGACTGGCGCTGGTGCGCGCGGTGTGTGCGTGCTGCCTCCACTTGGCTTGCAGAGCCTTCTTGGCTCGACGTGGAGGGAGGCCATTGCAGCGGAATTTTTGTTTGTGCCCGGGCAAACTATCACGACGGGGGCGAACCCGCTGGCGACGGTCCGGCGGTACGCTGCAACCAGGCGCTACCAGAGTGTGATGGGGGACTACGCGACCAGCAGCGTGCCTTTGGGCGTTGCCCACGCAATCGTCGACAAGAGGGGCAACGGTATTAGGGCCGCCTTGCCGCAGTGCTGGGGCTTGGTGCCTCGCGGAGGGGGAGGGCAGTGGTTGGCAGTTGGTGCCTTCGACTTGTTGTTGGTTGTTGGTTGATGGTGGCAGCGGCCGGGCTTTGCGTGGCGCCGTGCTGAGGAGGCGCGGGAGAAGTGTGGTGGATTTCCCACGCAACAACTGCAGCTGCCGAGGATGGGTAGAAGCCGTGGAACAAATCGGCGGTGTTCCTCGTCGTTGTGCGCCATTGGCGTAATGTACTGGCGGCGCATATTTTTTTTATGTTTTTTGCCTCCGGTGTGCGCGCAGACGTTGTTCTGTCTCTGCGTCTGAGTGGCAAATGAGAGCGAGCGGGGAATGGTGTGGCGGCGGCATATGGGCCGTGTGGGCGGCGGGGCAGAAGCGGGGAGAGAGCGCAGGACTGTCTTGTTTGGGTCCCTCTCCCCGCACCGCTGCCGTCGTTGTGGCTTGGGTTTTGGTTTTGACTTGTTGTGCTGTTTGTTTTCGCGGCGTGGTGCGGCGTGCGTGGATGTGGCGGGCTTTTGTTTGTTTTTGTTTTTTGTTTTTCCTCGCCGCGTTGTTTTCCACGTTTTCCCTGAGAGTCATTGTGCTGCGGGAGAAGAGGAGGGAGGGGAGAAGGGCGTTGAACTGCTGCTGCGGGGAGGGAACTGTGGCGCACGTGTGTGGGAGTCTGGTGGTTCTCTGCGTTGGGCGTCGCAGGAGCGGAGGAGGAGGCGAGGGCACGGGGGTGCGCCGGAGGTGCGAAACGACGGCGGACGCTCCTGCGGTGCTCTGCGAGAGGTTCTTTGGGGCCTGCGCCCCCCACGCAGCGGGCGGTGTGCGTCAGCGCGGGGAGGGCAGCCGTGCCTGCGCTGCTCACTCGCTGGGCGCTGGTGTGCCCATGCAGCCGCAGCGAGCAACGCGGACCACGCAGATTTGTTTGTTTTTGTTTGCCTGATGTCTCTGTGGGGTGGGGCCGTCTTGGCGTGGCACCTCTCTTTCCCTCACTTTGTCTCCACCTCGCGAAGACAGACAGCAGTAGAAAAAAACACGCACACATCGTTCCACGCAGCGGGTATTTGATGGCGGCCGAAGTTGGAATGCGGACGCGCTCCGCGGTGAGGACTGCCGTCCGGTGGATGGCGCTGCTGCTGCTGCTGCAGTGCCTGGGCAGCCACCCCTCCTTCACCGCGGCGGGAGAAGACAAACGCGTGGTCGTTAAAATCAAGAAATATTTCAGCATTCCCCATCCGGACCCTCATGAAGGCCATCCAGGTTGGGCGAATTACAAAGACTCTCGGGCTGTCTGTGGAAGCTATGGAGGCCTTCTTACTGCGGATCAAACACCTGCTGCGCATCAGTACATCACGGATTACTTGAGGAAGGCGAAAGGCATTGGCGATACGCGGGTATTCACGTACATGGGCGGTGACGCCTACTACAGCTACTATTGGGAGAATAACCCTGACAAGATGTGTAATCCAGAAGATGGTAACACACTCTTGAACTGCATCTTTGAGTGGAATCAGGGGCTGTTTGAGGACGCGAGTGCGAAGCCGAAACCACGTGGTGTTCCGTTTTTCAGAGGTTCACTGCACTCCATCCCTGGCACAGGCCCACTGAACGGGTACAAGGATTACTGGCGCGATGACTACCCTGCCAACGGCCAAATTTACTTAATATCTAGCCTGGATGTAGTGAAGATGGAGACGACGACATTGTGGTACGATGGGGCAATGCATGCTTACGATAACACTGATACGTCTGCTGTGGCATACAGCCTTGTCTGTGAGGTGCAAGACGAAGTCATGACGACGACTACGACTACGGCGTTGCCGGAGGTGGTGGTGCCGTGGGCGCAGGATCACTGGTACGCCATTCTTCTTGCCGTATTGTTGGCGCTTCTCGCTGCGATTGTACTAACTGTCATTATCATCTTCTGCTGTTGCCGCCGACGTACCGATGATGAATCCACGAGGGTGGCGTCCATGGAATTGCGGGAGGTGAAGGGCAATGTGTATGAGACCCAACAGAGGCAGAACGGCGGTGTGAGTGTGTCTGAGGACCCCGTTCTGCTCACGGGGAGGACACATGAGCAGAAACATTTTTTAGAGTGGAATTCCTCGATATCCCCTTCACAATGTGCAGCCCCTGTTGAATCCTCGCCACGTCTAGTATCCGCATCAGATGCTTCTCAGTCGTCGAGGCTGTCGAGAAACCATAGTCGCCGCCGCGTTGCATCGGGTACATTTGCAGGTGGGGATTTTTCAAGGGGCGAGGGGATTGCTGAAGATGCAGATGGTGCCTCTGTTGGGAACACGAGGAGGGTACGGCGCGTTGTGACCTCCAGAAACGTGGTGCATCGGGATGATCTGGAGACAATGGGGTCACGATAGGCACGCGCATTGTGGGTTTTCATTGGGGCAGGGATGCAGGCGGCGCGTGGCTTGTGCAGCAATGCTGCGGTGCCGAGTAGTAGATGTGTGTTTACGTAGATGTGTGTTTACGTAGATGTGTGTTTACGTGGGGTTGGATGAAGTTTAGTTCGTAAAGATATTATGCTTTTTTTGTGTGTGCGGCCATCAGTCCTGACGCAATTAGTGGGATACGACAAATGAATGTGGGTGTTGCGAGAGCTGGTGCGGGTGCGCAGTGCGCGTTGAGGTTTCGGTTTGGTTTTTGTTTCTCTGTTGGGTGACTGCGTGGTCCCCGGGTCGGCTCTCCACGCGGCAGACGGTGCGAGGCGGAAGCGGGTGGAGTTGCTGCAAGAGCGGAGTCCGGTGGACTGGCGTCATTGCCTGCGCCGCCGCTGTGTTTACCGTCCACGATGCCC